TATATATATTTTTTTTCTGTAATATTTCTATTCAAATATTTGACAGTTTACAATTATTTTGACACATAAAAGGTGTATTTACAAAGGGTGGATGATACTAGATAAAATATACAAGTCGTTTCTTGTCATGTGAAACATTTAGATGCCTCGCAAGACTAAACAGAGAAACACTTACAGTAAATTTTACTTCATCCTAATCTGTATTTATATTTATTTATTTCACCTTAACTACGCGGGTCTTTCTTCATGTAAGTCCTCTTACCTTTTTCGGATCAGAATATAACGATCTTAAGTCTACAAATAAGGGAGGAACACCTTTATGTAATGCTTTCCTCATGTATTGATCGACTAAACTACGAAACTGCTCGTCTGAAAATTTTAAAATTTTAACGTAATTAGAAATTTGTATTATAAAAAAATTAAGAAATTTAAACATTTTACGAGGGTCGTTCAATAAGTCCTTAGAAAAAGATAGAAAAACAAATTATTTTAGGTAGATTTTTTTTTATTTTTCAACATAATCTCCTTTAAGCTCTATACACTTTTCCAAGCGTTTCTCCAACTTTTTTAAGCCATCTAAAAAGTAAGATTTCGGAAGGTCCTCAAAATAGGCATCTGTTTGGGCGATGACCATCTCGTTTGACATGAATCGTTGTCCGCCAAGCCATTTTTTTTTAAGTTTGGAAATAAAAAAAAGTCACTTGGGGCCAAATCCGGTGAATATGGTAATAATTCGAACTTTAATTCCGTGATTTTGGCCATTGAAACTGCACAGGTGTGCACCCGTGCATTGTTTAGATGGAAGAGGATCTTTTTCTTTTTCAAATGAGGACGTTTTTCCTTGATTTCTTTGCTCAACCAGTGCAATAATGATGCATAATACTCTCCAGTTATTGTTTTTCCTTTTTCCAAGTAATCGGTGTAGATGATTCTGTGTGTATCCCAAAAAACCGTGGCCATCACCTTCCTGGCCGATTTCACTGTCTTCGCCTTCTTTGGAGCCCTTTCGCCTTCAAAAACCCACTGTTTTGACTGTTCTTTGGTCTCTGGAGTATAATAGTATATCCATGTTTCGTCCACAGTTATGTATCGACACAGAAACTCATCAGGATTGCGACGAAAAAGTGCCAAAATAGCCTCAGAGTGGACCACATGATTACGTTTATTCTCCACTGAGAGCAAACGCAGCACCCATCTTGCCGAGATTTTTTTCACACCCAATTTTTCATGCAAAATTGAAAATACTGTACCTTGCAATATGCCTGTGGCCTCAACTATTTCACGCACTTTGATTCGTCGATCACTCAGAACTATATCGTGGATTTTATCAATCGTTTTGGGAGTAGTCACTTCCACTGGACGTCCTGAACAACGTTCATCTTTTGTGGATGTACGACCACGTTTGAACTCATTTATTCAATTGTAAACAGTTGCAAACACAGGAGCAGATGTGCCATGAACTTCATCCAACTCAGCTTTGATCTCTTTCAGTGTTAAGCCTTTTAAATATAAGTGTTTAATCACCACTCGAAACTCACTTTTTTCCATTTTTCTAAATAAACAAAAGTTTCTTGCTTCAATCAACAATAAAAATTAAACCATGTGATGGATATGACTGAGACTTTCACAACTGTCTAGTAAGACATGATGCTTACAAAAAACGCGCCATTTTTTAGGCTACGAGCGCCATCTATTGGATTTTCTAAGGACTTACTGAACGACCCTCATAATATTGATAAATATCTAATTTTAAAAAAATAGCAAATATTAATCTGACTAAAACAACTTTAAAGAATTAACTACAATAAATTGCATAAATTTAATGTTAATTATAATTCTTATCAAATTATATTTAATGTTAAATTTATGCAAAATTCTTTTAATAAAATTTTTATAATTATCTGAAGCCAATATTAAATTCTGCATTTTACCCAAACTAATATACGAAACTTTTCTGTGCACGTTGCCAACCTGTTTACTGTAAATACAGTCTTCCAAAAAGAATGTTACCATTTTAAATTATTCTAATTATTATCCAAGAACGTTGAAATGCACATTAAAACATTGTAAAATTGCCCAAATGTCACATTTGCCCATTACGATTTCTTTGTGCATGCATCTCGTGTCACACAACGCATATCCAAACAATACCCAAATTTTTCCTATACCCACTACAGTGTATCCATCATCACTCTCCCAAGGCAGCCACAATTCTACAGCTCCTGCAACTTAGTTGTGTTGCACAATGACGAGCAATTTCAACTTTGCAAACGGAGGGAACAAAACACCTTCTCTGTTGAAGAGTTGCTATTTTTGTTTATGGTATATTTCCTAGATGCCGTAGACAACAAGACGTTTAAATACAGACGGGAGACAAAACTCGAACGGTTACTCTATTGATTGATGTACGTTGCATACTTCTCGAATAGTAATCGATATAATTTTAATGATTTTAAAATGGTATCATTCATTTTAGAAGACCCTGTATATTTATAATTAAAAACTGTAAGACATTAATTATATTTCAGTTAAAAAAATATATATTAAAAACTAATTAAAAAGCATTGGGATAAATGAATATTTCTTCAAGCTAAGATTTTAAGTTTATAGTTTCAATTATTGACCTTTATTCTAAATACATAAATGCCATTCAAAAATTTAAATAGAAACACTGCAAATTCTCTAAACAGATTGCACTCTCACTTCTCCAAACAAATTATTTTATAGAATTGTTTGAATTAGTGGATTATACATAAGAAAGAGTAAAAAAAAAAAAGGTCTACAAATTAATGTATGTATTTAAATTGTATTCAGTGTGTATGTTTATGTAAAATGTGCAGAGCATATTAATTTTACAAATTCCTCTTATTTTAAAAAATAATAATTTAATGCAAAAATAAAATCTGTTTAATTTAATGGAATTTGAGTTAGCAAGAATATTTGAAAATATAAAACAAAAAAATAATTTTTTTTAAAGTCTACCTCCCCTTGGACACTAAGAGGGCCTTATTTTTTTTATAACAAGCCCAGTATGGATTCAAGCAGGCCAGGTGGTGAGGGACAAGATCCTATATAATCTGGATGAACCACCCCAAAAAATTTCTGGGAGGTTTTGACCAGTCTGGATTTAGTCCCAGGTCCCCATAGCTGTAGGCCGACACCATAACCGCTCAGCCATGTGGCCACAAGAAAAATGAATTATGGTTCTTAGCTTTTCAGAATGCCACAATCAATTTTATCATCATCAAATTTAATCTTTCTACATGTAAAACAAAAATAAAATAGTAATAATTGCTAATGCATTTCTGTTTTTTATCATTAATAATTTGATATTTTGTGAACATAAAATCAAAAAATGTATATTTTTAATGAAATTTTATTCTGAAAATACTTACCCATTGTAAAACTAATAGGAATTCTTCTAGGAGTTTGAGCTCTAGGATATTTTAATTGATATTCCCTATAAATTTTCAATCTATCTTCTATTAATTCTGAAAATATAAAGAATTTTCATGAAGTATAATCTGTCTTTAAAAATAAAGAATCTTTAATGGCAAAACTTGGTTAAACATAGCAATAATATACAATTAAAAATTTCTCAGTTTGACCAATTAAATAAATAATCCAACTGAAGGAAAACATACAAAGTGTTCCTTTGATCTGTCTCAAAATTTTAACTTATAATCAATTAACTGTTTACTTCTAGATGTAAATAAATAAATAACTAATAAAATTTAATGTAAAATTTATTCACATTTTCTATTTATGAATTTCATTTACAAACTAGAGATTTACCCCATTAGACGTCTGCCAATTAATAGCTGCCATTAACATATGCAAAATATCTTAAACATAATAGCTATAAAAGCTTCATAAGCTAATGTTTTATGGCAATTATGCTATAATACTTCCACATATTAAACATTGCTGTCAACATTTAGGTTTTAAAAACATAAAATATGTGTAAGATACAAAATGTTCTCACAAATTAGTCTTTCTTGATCACCGGTGACCACAATCATCATCTAAAAAGATGATCTTTTCATTGATTAAAACAAATTAAAATGAGAACTAGTTAAAATGTTCTCTGAAGACAATGCCATAATTAAAAACAAATAGTCAATTTGGCCAATTTTAATCAAATATTTGTTTTTTATTACAGCATTGTTACCAGAAGACATTTTAACCAACTTGCATTTCTGCAGCGACATAACCTCTAATAAAAAAGATGGTCATACTGGATAAAATATAATACAGTAGAGCATCAATTATCCGAATACCAATCAACCAAAACATCGGTTAACCGAAAGCGTTCCACTCAACAAATTCAAATTTCTGCTAGGGCTGTGGCATTGCAGCACTCTTCTTATTCCTGCCAAACTGAACTTTAGGCCTAGTTTAATGTATTACATTATGTAAGGTATGTATTTGTAAGACGTGTGACACAAATTATATACAGTACAGTTTTGTGTTTAATATATTTTTTTGTAAATGATCAGTTATCGGAACAACCACAGTCCCAAATTGTTTCAGATGATCGATGTTCTACTGTAATCACAAACTGTTTTTAGATTTTAAATTCTAGTTAAATATTATATTTAATATGAATCCCAATACAAGTTTTCTTTTTTTACTCTTTCCATCAACTGGATATCGACACAGTCTTTTCATCAAGTCCACTGCGGATTCATCCAGATCTACAATGGAAAGACAAGGTCTAAAATATTCAAGACAAACCACTCCCCCCAAAAACATTTGTTAGGTTTTTTTTTGATCCATCCTGATTCATTCCCAGGTCTGCTAGAGCAAGAGACCAATAGCTTAACTATTTAGCCATCCAACTTTGCAAATTCTTAACCTATCCAGTGTTATTCCCAACATATCTCAGGTTGCAACCTGCTAACCAATTGACCCGAGATAACTCGTTTCAGCGTAAGAACGTTTTTGAAACTAAATGTTGCCAGCCATTATAATTTTTATATTANCGTTTTTGAAACTAAATGTTGCCAGCCATTATAATTTTTATATTAAAATTAACTTCCAAAATATAATTTTTTTTGTTTTTACATTTATTAATATATTTATTTTGTTTGTGTGGAATAAAAAAATAATTTCGAACGATACAACAGCCACAGTTATTTTTTTCAAAAACGTGTAATTTTCATTAGACGTTAAGTCTAATGAAAATTACATTGACAAATTAACATTGACAAAAATTCAATACGATACAACATGCAACGGAGATAAATTTCAACATCGGACAGGTTAAAGTTATAAATGTTCTTTATTTATTAATTTAATTAATTATTCTACTTTTATTTCCGTAAGATTTTCACTATCAATCCTGACTGTCACTAATCTAAAGTTTTAATCACACCTGTTATCAATATTCTTATCTGTTCAATAATTATTTGCAAATAAATAAATCTACATTACTGTCTTTGTTAAACCATTGTTTTTTAAATATTTATAACTCCTCTTTCTATTAGTTCTAGCATAACATGCACAAGTAATAATATTTGCTCTGTGATTTTTATTTTAAAACCAATTTATTTTTTTACAATTTATTGCTATTTTATTACCTAATAGTAAATGTGTTAACCAATTTTATTCACATTTATTAACATTTCAAACAATTTTCTTATTTATGAGAGTATGATTTGAATCAATGAATTAGGAATATCTTCAATTCTAATTAAGAGTTCATCAATATTCGACTAAATTGAAGTATTTCCTAACTTCAATTAATAATCAAATTTTTAATGAGATAATTATAAAAATTACTTTTCACTCATTCCATTAAAAACCCAAGATGTAATTAAAATTTAAATTTAAGACAAATCAAGAAAAGTGTTTTATTTATAGTAAGGTAAGAATAAATATAATCAAATCGTTCTTACCTGGCCTTAAAGCATTTTCTAGACCTTTATAATAAGCATGATTTTCTGGATTCCTATTAATTAATTCTCTAAATACCTTCTCAGCTTCGTGATACTTGTGTAATTTTAGCAATAAATTGGCTAAAGAAAAAAAAATATAAATTATATAGATACTTACAAACACACCTTTTTTAACTTAAAAACAAAATTTACTGCAATTTCTTATATCTGTTATATGACACTGATTTCATAATAGTACATAAATTTATATAAATGCATTACAAAACTGGAAAATCATTTTGTAAATTATACAAATTATTACTGTAGTGTTAGTCCTGCCCATAGTCCAGCCAGATGAGACAAAATTGTGGGACGTTTTTTTGAAACTCACATGACACTTTGGGACCAACCAGTGCCATCAGTATAGAAGAAAAAGCAGGGAATTTGATTCAGGAAAGCATCAAACTGTGAAATGAAGCCAAACCCAACCACTTACTTACTACACACCTATACTAAAAAACTTCATATGTAAGCAGGATAAAATGTTTAGTAGCATAGTTTTTAGTTAAAAATCATTATTTTATATAATAAAATTCAAATAAGAAATCATTTAATATTTAACGATTTCTTATTTAAATTTAATCATATAACTTAATTAAATTAATTCTATTAACTTTATTTATAAAATTCTACAATATTCAAATGCAAAAACACCCAAAGATATTTCTTACTAAATGTTTATTGAATAACAGAACAGTTAATGTTTTCTTTTTCCCTGCTTAACGATTTCAATCCTGCTTTTCGTGTAGAATTTACTTGTCGGTTTATCAAATTTATCATCAATAAAGATAAACAATTGTGTACAAAAATTGGTCATTTAATTTTTATGTTAAAATTGATTCTTTCATTATTAGGGACAGAATTTTATATTTGTAGATTACTTTGAAAAATTATTAAGTTCAAAATTTTTTGTCATTAAATTTACGAGGGCTGTTCAAAAAGTATCGGACCTTTGGTCGGAAAAAATACATTTATTGATTTTGAGGTACAAAACCCTAATCCCCTTCAAAGTAGTCTCCTTGGTAGTGTATACACTTCTCCCAGCATTCCTGCCATTGCTGGAAACACTGTTGGAACGCATCTTTTGGAAAGGCCTCAGCCGGTCCGTTGCATTCCGCACAATGTCTTCTCTCGACTAAAATCGGGTTCCTTTTAGCGGCATTTTCATCTTGGGAAATAGCCAAAAGTCACACGGAGACATGTGGGGAGAGTACGGAGCGTGACGAATCACAGGAGTGTTGTGTTTTGGCGACGAAAGCCCGAATCAGATGCGCAGAATGGGCGAATGCATTATCACGATGGAGCTGCCAAGTTTTGATCAACCACAGATCTGGTCGTTTGCGTCGCACAGCATCGGAAAGACGACGAAGGACCTCCTGGTAGTACTCCTTTGCGATGGTTTGGCCTTGTGGTGCGTACTCACGATACACCACCCCACGAGAGTTGAAAAAACTGTCAACATGACCTTGATATTGCTGCGGACCTGCCACGCTTTTTTTGGCCTCAAGGATCGTTCCGAAAGCCTGCTGAATCTTGCGAATGGTTTACGCTTCGGTATCGCCAAGGTTTTTCGCAAAATTTGATGTAATATCGCTGCTCACACTGTTCAGTCATTTTCCAACTTAGTGGAATCTGACGAGAGCTCACTACATGTCCTCACTCAAAGTCCGACTGCCAACGACTGACGCTTCCTGCAAGCGGGAAAAAATTCAGAGCTGTGCATGACTGTCCCCTCCACAACTCCATCGAAACAGGCCTCCCGCACATCATTGGTTTACATGGAAAAAATAAAAGTCCGATACTTTTTGAACAGACCTCGTATATTAACAATGAAAGTATACTTAAATTTTAGTACCAAGAAATTAAGAGCCATAGTGAAATCTAAAACTTTTAATTTAAAAGAATATTCTTTTAAATTAAAATGTAGAAATTTTATGATGTACAGTATTTCTATCCGTCATATATTAATGATTTTTCAAGCTTAAAAAGCCAGCTTATATATTATAATTTAAAATATATTCTATTCTATTGCAATATATTTTCATTCTATATATTCTATTCTATTGCAATATATTTTCATTCTATATATTCTATTAACCGGGCAATGTGATATGACAGAAATTTGTCAGCATCAAGTTGATCTATTACAATTAAATGTATGTGCCATAAAACTGTTGTGTTGCCAGTAAAAGAAATTAAAGATTTAATTTAATCTCTGAAAAGTTATTGTTTAAATACCTTTGGTTTCCATAATAGTTAACCTATCACAAATTTGATCTTCATATTTTTCTAGATGTAGCAATGCTTCTTCTAAATTTCCAGCTTCTTGTAATACTGTGTTCTGATAGAGTAGTAATTCACTATGTTCGTAATCATACCCACGCTTCTATAAAAAGTAACACTAATTAGTTTTGAAAAGACTTATAAAATCTGAAGTAGTTTATTAAAAAAATATTAAAACTATTTTCAGTTTACAACTTTAATTTACTACATTCTACATAAATTTTATATGAAATTCAATTTGTTCAGAAACAAGTGGCTGAATACCACATTGTGCCACTATTTCTCGAAAGTACAACACTATGGCAAATCCGCGAGAAAGCGGATCTACTGTCAATTGACCGAGGGATGTACGAACTCGGCCCCTTAAATATGGCAGAGACCCAAATCTGAGTCAGAATGCAATAAGCCACTTGGAACATAAAGTCAAGACTTAGATTACATGCATAAAACCAGATACGGAAAGGTCACAATCTCTTGCCTTATGGAAGCTTAGAATAGGAACTGATAATGTGAAATCAATCCCAGTAGCACAAGTAAGAAACATTGTCATCAAAACAGAATGGCTATCACTCAGAGGAAATCACGTGGCTGATGGAATTGTCTGGCTGAACTAGTTCCGCTCAGGCACTCTACTCTCAGACATAAATTTCTTTGGCAGTGAAGATTTCTCATTTAATAAACTGCTTTGCACTATGGATACAAGTATCTCCTTTTGTGTCCACACCCTTGTGTAATTTCACCACAGGAAATACAACTTTTTAGTATTGAATTTTCATTGTGTAAGGTCATGCATGGCATTACATTACAATTCTTAGTTTATTCCATAACAGAAATAATCTAATATCAAGCTCATATTTATATACAGGCTGCTCTCATTTTATGGTGTTTGACAGTAACACTGGTTTCAAATTTTTCCTTCTAGTTCTCAAAAAATTCTTCCACTGTGTGTAGAATATTTTTAGTAACTACTAAAGCAAATATTTTTTTTCATGCCTGATGGTAGCATTAGCAACAACTTCACTTTAATAGCAATTCTAAACAGTTCTGGTTTCTTTATTATTTTGAAGTGTTTATTATTCACACAGTATTTTACAATTCAAAGATAAAATTTTAACAGTACCTATTTTAAAATAGAAAAAGAACAGCCAAGTCAAATAAAAAAAATTTAGTAAACCTGAATGTCCAAATCTGTTGTGTGAAATGAATCCCGACTGAGAACAAAGTGTCTTCGTGAAGAGTTTATAAAAAGCCTTAACACCTTATTATGAAATTCCCAAAAAAGAAAAATAGACACGGCCAACAACTTTGGATTTGTATCTTACAAAAAGGTGCACGATCCTATGTCTAGCCCATTATCAACGGATGATCCTAAGCCCGTTCCATCCAGAACTGAATCAAAGTCACACCCAGTGGCATTGTTGTACGAGATCAACAGTGGCCAAATAAAAATTCATTGTTGATTTCAGCTATAAATAAATATGCCTAAGATATTATTATTAAGTAACATTTTGTTACTGATCATGTTTTTATTGAAAAATACATATATTCACCATGGATGCCCAAAACACATCCCTATTTATTTCATTATAAAATAGATTTATTTTGTGCCAATTTTAAGTCTTTCTGCAATAACATAAAAGTTCCAAAACATTTAAATTTTAAACTAAATTATGAGAAACTATTTGTAAATTTTGATTGATAACTTTTGTTTTTTAAATTCTATTTAAGATACTTAAAATCAATATTCCATCTTAAATCGGCCAAAACTTTCAATTTTTTTAATATTCAACTTTAACAAGTTATACTAAAAAATTTTTTTCTGGAACAAGAAATTTGTCATAAATTACTCTCATAAGACTAACTGAAAACAAATCATCATTATTAACTACACTCACAAAATTGATCAAAATTATGCCTTGCAAAAGTTTTAATGCAAAAAATAATCATTCACAAATATAGATGTTTACCGTTTGTGTTTTTCGAAATTCTTCTAGAATTTTTAAAGCCATATCGTAATCTTTTAGTAAATGATATGCCATTGCAAAACCAATCCATGATGCTCGTTGTGTCGGCCGCAACATGAAGAGCTGATATCTGGTATCCTAAATTTAAAAAAAAAAAAAGATTTACATGTAATTTCTTTAACAAATTATTAAAATTTATTTATATAAATATAATGTAATGATAAAAAATTCACTTTCCATTGTTTACTTTATATTTTAAGGATATATATATATATAGTCGGTGTCCCAAAGATCAAAAAGCTGGAAATCCGGACCACTTCTGGTCCCAATCTTGTCAAATATTCAGTCCATAATGTACTTGCTTTTGTCTTCTCTCCTCATTATTATAATTAGATTGTTAAACTAAAATATTTTTTAAAGTTTCACCACTGTATTATCCGGAAAACTTAACATTATCTTTCCCTTCTGATTCATTTAATTTTTATTGTAACAACACAGAAATGTTATAGAATGCTGTAATTTAAAAATATTTTTGAATTCTTGTAAACAGGAGAGGGATATGGAAAAGTGTAAACAAATTTTCTACTCTGATGTACTTTTACCTTTTAAATGAAGAGTGTAAATAATTTTGATACATGATTTAACTTTCAATAATTTTTTTTATCATCATTTTTGTACATTCATCTGAGAAATTTCTCTGAATCCAGAACAACTAGAGAGCCAAAGCTCTCAGTGAATTTACTTTTTTAAATGAAGTTATTTATTTATTTTAGTGGAACACCAAATATCTGAACTGTCAATTAACTAAATTCATTGTGACAGAAGAATGAAAGCTCAATCTTTAACATACACTCTTCCACCTGTCAAGTCCGCCCAAGTAATTGTTATCCCTGTCCATTTAATCTTAACTAGCAATTGTTGTTTGTAGTGTTGTAATCTCTTTGATTTTCTAACCCATTCTAATTTTTATGGACATTAAAATAATGTTAACAGTATAAAATAATTTGTTGAAAGAGAAAGCCATAGAAATTCACTAAACACACAGTTTTATTAATATAATAGTGTTTTTCACAAATAAAGACACTTTTTTTTTAATCTGAATTTTCAATTATTTGAACTGTCTTTTACCATGAATTAATTTGGATAATTAAAGTGCCAATATAATTTTATTATTATTATTAGTTTTTCTTTAAGCAGAATAAATATTTATCATACCATCAAAAATAACAATTAGTCGTGATAATTAAAGATTTAGTACTGTACATATAGTACAAGAGGGAGCAGGAAAACCTAGATTGTCCTGACGTAAACAATGAATTGTGCACCATATATAAAGGGTGCACAGTGAAAGTCCTTATACACTGATACGTGTGAGTGGTGCACAACATATGACGTTACCCATGTAGTTACAAATGCAGTTCAAAGAAACGAGAAATACGCATTTCACTGTCTTTGTACAATGTACACATTAGCATTTCATACTTTCTATTCACATTATTCATGTATGCAGTGTGTCTTTTGAACTGAAATTGGTTCTGCTCTATGACTATGTAATTGACCTTCTTTCTGTATCATGCAACGTTTTCAAAATGGAAACACTAATTTCTGAGTTTTGCTACTAGTGGCTCTGCAAGAACTCTTGTCTATACAAACTTTATGTTCATCATCCAATTACATGGCTGTATAAGAACTTTACTATGCATCCTGTATACAGAGTATACATACAGAATAAATTCTGTAAGCTCAAGTGTATGTTTATATATACATTCTTAGATATTTTAACATAATTTTTTTTGCATGCTACGAGCAAAGATGTTCATATTATTACAATTTTGTTAAAGTATATAATTTACACTATCTCAGATTACAAGACTCTATTTAATACAATCGAGTCTTTATTTTTTGGAGACACTCATTTTGTTTAGTCATCATTTGTAGAAATTATCTGCAGTGGAATACTTTTTGTAATCTACCTGTTCAACAAAGTGGAATTGTCCAGCACTGTTATCTCTCATCGTTAATGGTATCATCCATACGGATTTATTCTGCAACCTGCACTGAGATCTGTTTTAACATAATTTTTTTGCATGCTACGAGCAAAGACGTTCATATTTTCACAATTTTGTTAACGTATATATTTTACACCATTTCAGGTATTTCTATTTTGTTTTTATTGTATTTAATATACATTTCTATTTTTTAATACGGTTTTATTTTAATCATCTGTTGCTCGTGATATATGCAAGCTCAGTCTATCTATTTTATATAATAATATATTGATTTATCTATTGTTAGTTTATACATTTTTGACAGTTCCTCATCACCTTCATCTTTGTTCATAGCACCTGTTTTTTTTCCTCCTGTAATGTATTCAACAAAAAATCTTAAAATTTTTGTCCAAAACATCAGGTCCATTAATAACAAATGCATGTTCCTTGCCTCAATTCTTAATGATTTTTATGATTTATTTATATTAATGGAAAGTTGGCTTACCCCAAACTCTGATGATGTGTTGAATTTTATTAACAGTTTGGGTTATTCACATATTGCTTTATCTCTTAATATTCAACGTGGTGGTGGAATCCTTTAGATTTTCCCCCCTTGCTCAAACCTGTAAAAGTATTTGAATATCTTGATTCTATCCTTGCCATCAAACTTTCTGTGTATAATTTAATAGTCATTTCGATATACGCCCCTCATAATAAAAGAGATTCCATTTTTAAAATTTTACATAGATATCTTAGTTCTCTTTCTGAATTCCAACATACAGTGGGTGATCAGTTAACAAACAGATTGGATAATGAACACTTCTGCGAAAGATTTTTATGTTCGGACAATGAACACATGATCGGATAACGAGCACCCCACAGAACAAATACAGAAGTGATGTAAAATAATGAATACCAATTGGTCTTCCCTTGTCTTCGGGCAACAATTCGAAACTTTTCAGAGTGTGGGAGACATCGACATCAACACTCAAGCCAGTATATACCGATCGGATAGTATTCCTTCAAATTTTGAAACTCTCCCTTGTAGAGTCCTCTCCTTGTAGAGAACTCTCCCTGAGTCTGTCAGGTAGGCATTTGTTAAGTTTTGCGTCTGTTTTTCTTTTCGAAAGATGAGAGTATAATAGCAAAGGTATAAGTGGACAGATGTTGCTGTGCAATATGGCTTGAACAGGTCTACATTAGGCTGCAGTTCAATCTTATCTAAAAAAGATACAGTATTATCAAGAAGACTCAAGCAGCTTAAGAAGTAACAAAATTCACATCTGAGAAATAAAGAACATCGAAGAGTTCATAATGGAACCTAAAACTGATCTGATGGCAGAAGAANATATATATATATATATATATATTAATACTATTTAATGATTTTAGTTTCATATGGAAAGGATACAGACATGACTTTTTAAATCATTTCTAAGACCTCTTCTGACATATTCATAAGCTTCTTCTTTTCTTCCTAAACAATTAAGTGTAAGACCTTTCATAGCAAGGGTTTCTGTTTAAAAATTAAAATAAAATTTTAAATTAACATCAATTAAATTATAAAAGCTTATTTGTTAAAATAATTAAAACTTAAATTATTTGTAATTACGTACCTCCATGTTCTGCAAATTTTGGATTGGACAGAATCTGTTTGGCAAATTTAAGACCATTTTTGTATTGTTTCTGCTCGTAACATTTCTAAATGTAAAAAAGAAAAATTATCACATTAAAGAGCAAATATATTAGGTTAAACTACAAATTAAAGTAACATATATTTATTCAAGAAGAGCATTATATGGCTAAATATTGGCGAGATGGCCAAGCAGTTAAGTTACCCCAGCTTATCACTTTAGGGGACACAAAAACGAATGCCGGCAGGCCACTCGTGAAATTTTTCAGGGGGGTGAACCATTCTGAACGGATATGTTAATTCCCACCAACCCTCACTGCAGGCCTGGCCAAATCAACGATGGATATGATTAAAAGGCCCTATTCATGCCCACAAGGAGCAGAAAATATAAATAAATAAATATTGATTAGCTCTTTTGAGCTATCCATTCACTTATCTACAGATCAAATTTCTCAAACAATGGATATTCAAGTTGTTGCCAAGCAACATTACAATACTACAATGATTATACAAATTATCATTAAGACTTAGTGTAATTCTATCCAGTTAAGCAGATGTTGATCAAATAATTTTCTTTCTGTTAACCACTTTCATGATTTAAGTTAACAATTCACACAAAATTTTGTAATATTCTAGGCCAAAACTCCGCTAGCATAAAAACCTTCGCCGTAATTATTTTTAATCGTGTGACCTGTTTGCATTTGTGCTCGGATTGCAGTGGCAGTCTGGCTCCACTGCTTCTTGTCATAGATACAAGGATATTTTTTAACATTTTCAATAAATATTTCCAGGTCTATTCTAGGTCTTTCACAACAGCAATTCTAATTCTGAAACTAATCAAAGATTTCACAAATACCAAAGCAGCAAGAGCAACAGATCAAATGGAGCAAATGTGCTAGTTTTCCACAAACTTTCACCAAATGCCATAATGACGTAGAAGTCTGCTGACTTCTGACTGGTCGATGGTACAGTTTTACAGACATTTTCATATCAAAAGTTGAACACTGCTCAACTTGCTTTATGTTCGTTTTATGCCCAGCTCCAGTGTAAAATATCACAGTTACGTGATTAAAAATAATTAGGTAAGAATTTTACACTCATTTTTATGCTAGTGGAGTCTTACCTTAAGAGTTAATTAGCAACAGTCTTGTACGATAATATATAATGTAACTGTTGTTTTACTTTATTTATCATTTTTTAATGTCTGTTATATATTTTATATTTTGTAATCATTTTATTAGGGATCCTTTTTTTTGTTATTAGGGGGTGGAATACAATTGTCTGACGTTTCCAATAAAAAAATTAAATAAATAAATTCATTACTTGCTATTTACAATTCATACATTTTTCTTGCTATTATTCATATACTTATAAAACTACATAGATAAATGTAAATGTTAACATTTTATTTTAAATAATGTACACTTTTCTGCATAATTACAGAAAGTGAGAACTTGAACAGACTCATATATATATAAGAACTTACCCTGTAACCTTCTAGATCCCTCATCTGAATTTGTAAGAGAGACAAATCTCTTAAAATCTGTATATTATCCTAATAAAATTAAAAAAATTTGAAATGAGATGATATTAATAAGAAAGTATTTTGCTTTATATAAAGAAAAAAATTTTTTTGTCACCTTATCCCATTTAAGCGCATTACGATAACATTTAATAGCCTCATCGTATTTTCTGTCGGACCTTTGAAGAAGACCGTAAACGTGCCAACCTACGAAAGCCGTTAAGGTTAACAAAGCCAGTTTTTGTCATAACAATTTTATTTTTAACCTGGACTGAAATGCCATAAAATGCAATTTAATAAAACAGTTTAATAAATAAACAATAAACAGTTGTAGTAAAGTGATAATAAAAATTTAACAATAGCAGGAAAGGTGACATTCATAAACTCTTAACAATGTGTTAAGAATTACTCAAACAATTTTTGCTAACATGATAATTATCTCCAGATTATTAAATAAAAAATAACTTTGGCCTATCTCAAGCCAACCTCAGCTTATACATGGAATGCCAAATGTCGAAAGAAGAGAAAAATGAAGAATAACAACCAATTGGAGGAAGAAGGCTTGAAAAGAGTTGAACAAACACTTAGAAAACTGTAAGGGTATAAAAAGCAAACCAATGTAAGGGGAAAAAAAGAAAAATATTAAACAAATTAAGAGCTTTTTAAATGTGTACCCGTGTAAATCTCCAATGTGGTGTCCACTGTTTTCTTGTTCATCAGGTAATATGTATTTAAAGGTTTCAATAAAAGTTCTGAGATCCTAAATAGTGGGGGGGATTAATTAAATTAAAGAGGTTTCCTTTCAAAAAAAAAAAATTTCCTACTTTAAAGAGGTCTCCTAACTATGAAGACAAACCAAAATAAGAAAAACATTAAAGTTAACTAAACAGTTTTAAAAACCCTCAAAATATAAGTTTTTTTTTTTTCTATAATAAAACCATCAATTTATTTTTCTGACAGGATCTCATCAAATTAAATATTCTCAGTTGATTCTTGTAACTGATTCTGTCAGCAACTGATAGAGAAACAATCAAAAATATCAAACGACTAGAGGAAATGATTCTCATAGTCAAAAATCCTTCAGTTAAACAACTGAATTTTCTATCCTTTTACATTTTGAACTTATTCGATATTTCGTCAACCAAAGGAGATTAATTTGGTCGAAAATTTTATTAAAATTTTTCACCAAAGATATGAAATTTTGACTACAGAAACAATTCAGTAACGAGTGAAGAGTCCATAAACTTCAAGTAACAATGCAAAATAATCACAGCTTTTGTCAATTTATTTACAAAATATTCAATTTTTACCAATCTAAATAAAAAAATTAAAAAAAATTCATTAAAAATAAATTATTTGCAATGCATTTAAAATAGATATTTTCAAAAGAGTTTCCATTTTTTGTCACAAACATACAAAAATACGAAAATCACACATATATATATATATATATATATATTAATACTATTTAATGATTTTAGTTTCATATGGAAAGGATACAGACATGACTTTTTAAATCATTTCTAAGACCTCTTCTGACATATTCATAAGCTTCTTCTTTTCTTCCTAAACAATTAAGTGTAAGACCTTTCATAGCAAGGGTTTCTGTTTAAAAATTAAAATAAAATTTTAAATTAACATCAATTAAATTATAAAAGCTTATTTGTTAAAATAATTAAAACTTAAATTATTTGTAATTACGTACCTCCATGTTCTGCAAATTTTGGATTGGACAGAATCTGTTTGGCAAATTTAAGACCATTTTTGTATTGTTTCTGCTCGTAACATTTCTAAATGTAAAAAAGAAAAATTATCACATTAAAGAGCAAATATATTAGGTTAAACTACAAATTAAAGTAACATATATTTATTCAAGAAGAGCATTATATGGCTAAATATTGGCGAGATGGCCAAGCAGTTAAGTTACCCCAGCTTATCACTTTAGGGGACACAAAAACGAATGCCGGCAGGCCACTCGTGAAATTTTTCAGGGGGGTGAACCATTCTGAACGGATATGTTAATTCCCACCAACCCTCACTGCAGGCCTGGCCAAATCAACGATGGATATGATTAAAAGGCCCTATTCATGCCCACAAGGAGCAGAAAATATAAATAAATAAATATTGATTAGCTCTTTTGAGCTATCCATTCACTTATCTACAGATCAAATTTCTCAAACAATGGATATTCAAGTTGTTGCCAAGCAACATTACAATACTACAATGATTATACAAATTATCATTAAGACTTAGTGTAATTCTATCCAGTTAAGCAGATGTTGATCAAATAATTTTCTTTCTGTTAACCACTTTCATGATTTAAGTTAACAATTCACACAAAATTTTGTAATATTCTAGGCCAAAACTCCGCTAGCATAAAAACCTTCGCCGTAATTATTTTTAATCGTGTGACCTGTTTGCATTTGTGCTCGGATTGCAGTGGCAGTCTGGCTCCACTGCTTCTTGTCATAGATACAAGGATATTTTTTAACATTTTCAATAAATATTTCCAGGTCTATTCTAGGTCTTTCACAACAGCAATTCTAATTCTGAAACTAATCAAAGATTTCACAAATACCAAAGCAGCAAGAGCAACAGATCAAATGGAGCAAATGTGCTAGTTTTCCACAAACTTTCACCAAATGCCATAATGACGTAGAAGTCTGCTGACTTCTGACTGGTCGATGGTACAGTTTTACAGACATTTTCATATCAAAAGTTGAACACTGCTCAACTTGCTTTATGTTCGTTTTATGCCCAGCTCCAGTGTAAAATATCACAGTTACGTGATTAAAAATAATTAGGTAAGAATTTTACACTCATTTTTATGCTAGTGGAGTCTTACCTTAAGAGTTAATTAGCAACAGTCTTGTACGTTCATCGTTTGGATATCATGAAACTGATCTGATGACTAGTGATAACTCAAAAGCACTTATTGTGTTATTTTATCATTATTTTAAACAAAAAAGTTGACATTTTGCATAATTTTTACTTTTAATATGAAGAAACAAAGTCAAAATGGTTCAATTCTAGATGAATCCTCAAGAAGATTGCAGACATCTAGAACTAAGCCAATTTTAACTTCATTTTCTCACTGAATGTCAGAGATGGTAATAGTATTCAAGTTATGATAAATCAAAATTCAAGTAACACCAATGTACAATTTATTGATGATAATTAACCTTAAATAAATGTAGCTATTAAATGCCAATAATATATTTGAATGTTACAGTAATTCACATGGAGAAATAGTGATCATAAATAAAATTATTTTCAAAATAATAGTGAACTTTTTAATTTTCAACCTATTTCCAAATAGGCTTTTCATTTATTCCATTTTATTAATTATCATCAAGATAAAATTTAATTACTTGAATTGCATATTAAGTATTACACAAGCTAGATTTTTCAATTAATGTTTCTATATTTTCTATATTAATCTATTAATAAATGAAATCTAACCTTTATATTATAGTTTGATAAGAAAAATTTAGTGTTAAATGAAGATAAGAATATTATATAAGTAACAATGCTTGTATTTTTGAATTACTTATGTAAATAATAAGGAGACAACAACTAGCTTCTGCTAAAGAACACATTCTTGTCGTATTGCCAAAGTTAAATAGCAATGAGCCTGAAGAGTATTCTAGTCAGAAACAACACAGAATTCTTAGGAGCTTATTTTTTTTTTAGCCTCCAGAGTCTGATGGCTCTAAGGTGGCCCCAAATTCAGAATGAAAAGATATAAGGATGGCAACAAGAAGCTAAATCAGGAAAAAAGTAACCCCATAGAGAGTGGCAATTAATAATGCTACAGAAGGAGGAGGAACAGGACAGTTTTGTAAATGATTCTTCACTTTATTATACAAATAAAAATTAAGACTCGCAATATAAACATATGTATAATTTTTAAATGCTCGTAATTATATGTGAATAAGTCGCTATAGTTACACATTTAAAAATAAAACAAAAAAGTTACACATTTTATTATTTCAAAAAAAAATTTTAGTTTTTAATCAAGTTTAACTACTGATAACTATAATCAAACAAGAAAATTATTGTTAGATTTAATTCTGTGAATTAATATAAGTGATAATTTATCATAAAAATACAATAAATAAAAGGATAAATTGATGTTTTTCAGTTTAATTTGGGGATAAAATACTTTTGACAATAAAAACATTCAATGGCATTTCTAATTTATTACTTAAAGCACAAATTATATTAAGACATTTCTTCTTATAGCAAGAAGAACATTAGTTAAATGCACTGTACAAATTTAAAAGTCAATTACATTTAACTATAAAATATAATTTCTGAATTTTCTACCCTGAAGACACTACAAGAGCTTTTTCTCTTTTCATTTCCATCAAGGATTTAGCCAGTAACATAATGGGAAAACTAAACCATAGCTGGACATATTCCAACTCACAAAGATTTTGAAAATTCAAGTTAATAGCGGACAGTATCTGAATAAAAGGTAAATATTTTACATAGACTTTAAGTCCTTTAAAAATATTTACTTTTATTCAATTTATATTTCCAAAATAATAATCTCTTATTGGTTTATAAGTGCAAGTGTCTTAGGGAGCAAGAAAGTACATGTCATCCAGTAATCTCTATTTCTGATTTTTTTAGTGTTTCAAACTTTTAAAAGTATTTTTCCTCATATTTTTAAGGGAATTTTTATGTTTACAGAACAGTCAAGCAACCTACAATAAAATATTATGCCAGAAAATTTGATAAATTATAATAATCTTAGTAAAATTATTACCAATTAAAGACTAAATACTAAAAACATTTTGAAGTTTTCTTACAAATGCCCATTTGCAACAATAAAAATATGATTAACATTAGCATAGTGTGAGTGGACATTTGTAAGAAACCATCAAAACTTTTTTTTTAGATTTTGNATTTATTCATAAAATGTAATTTTAGATATGTTAAGATGAATGTTTTTTACTTTAAATTTCATTCCTAAAGCTCTGGGAATCTAACAGCCACATCACTCTCACAAATGCCTTATATCTATTATTGATAGAACTTAATGTTTTACATTGTTTTTTGTTTTTTAACTCCATTAAAACAAATATTTTTTCCCCCATTTTGTGGAGTATTTTATAAATTGTAATTAGAATGTTACTTCATACAAATATTTTATTCCGAACAGTATGACTTTTCTGTGCTATGCCAAAGCGATTTGCAGTAAAACAAATTATTGTACATGTGTTTATTCTCTAAATTAGTAGCAAACATAAGAATGACAAGAATGATAAATTATGAATACTGTTATAAAATCAGACATTAATTAATTTCTTCTAAGTATTTAAATAAAGATTATTTTGGCAAAAAATAAAAATTTAGTACCAGATAATCAATTTTGTTTAAATTTATCATTATTATAAGTACTCATTTTTAATGAAAAATTTAAAAAAATGTAAGTAGTAATCTGCTTATTTTCAAAGCTATTTTAGTTACAGTTATGCTTTTACATTTGACTACATGAATTGTTACATATAAAATGTATTTGGAAAAATTTTAAAGTTTAGAATTCATAAAGTTTTTGATATGAATCATTAATTATTTCTTGGCAAATGATTAAATTTTTAACTAGGTCTTAAAATTTATTTATATTCATATTAAAAATATGAAATGGAATATACAGTATATTGTAAAGTAAAAACACAAATGATGTGACGTTTTAACATTCATTATAAAGTAAAGAATTTGATTGAAAAAATATTATAAGTACTTAAAAAAACTGTTCTTACATATTGAGTATTGCATTTGTTACCAGATTTATGCCTTCTTATTTCATATAATGCACCCAAACTTTCTTTTTCAATATTTGCAAATTCTATGAAGTTTCTGAAGCATTGATAGTGCAAAAGATGATATAGTCTTGAAAACTCCATGTTGGTTGATCATATTTTTGACAACCTTCACATTTGAAAGATAGTACAATCTTTTCTGAATTTCTAGTTATCGACTTTTCTCCCAAAAGGATCTTGCAAATAGCATAGCATTTTTCATAACTTTAAGCATCCAAAAGAAAAGAGATGGAAACAGTACATGAAATATTGAAGGATATATTTGTAATTCATTTCTCAAGTTAGTTTTTGATATTCACTTTTACTTATTTTCTTTGTTTTCATTTCAAATAACAACCGCACCTGTTGTTTTGCCTTCTCCAATATAACATTTTTTTAATAATTTACATTTATGTCTTTTGTAGAATAGAAGAAATACTCCAAAAAAAAAAAAATTAACAATGTCTTCATAATTTATCCTTTTTAATAACCTCAAAAACATAGCAAAGTTACAGGGCACTTTTATTTTGAGACTTTTCTCTGCCTCAATTTGTAAAACTTGTTAAAAATTCATAATCAATATCAATGCCTTTATCTTGTTTTATTTTCTATTTGATGATTCTATTAAGTTATCAAATAGATATCATCTTCATAAAAACCAATATTTAATTCCTACATTAATAACCTCTGNCATTTTATTATTTCAAAAAAAAATTTTAGTTTTTAATCAAGTTTAACTACTGATAACTATAATCAAACAAGAAAATTATTGTTAGATTTAATTCTGTGAATTAATATAAGTGATAATTTATCATAAAAATACAATAAATAAAAGGATAAATTGATGTTTTTCAGTTTAATTTGGGGATAAAATACTTTTGACAATAAAAACATTCAATGGCATTTCTAATTTATTACTTAAAGCACAAATTATATTAAGACATTTCTTCTTATAGCAAGAAGAACATTAGTTAAATGCA